CACACACATATACATACACACACACATATACTTATCCAAATAAACATACTTTGCAGGTTTTTATATTTCCTACTTTTAATAATGACACATGATATATGCATTAAACAGAATTTAAAAATGTAAGTAACTAACTAGTGGCTAACAAATTAATGACGTGTTATTTGTGATTTTACTTTTTGTCCTCAGAAACTTAATGAAATATGTTTCTGTATGTTTCCTTTATAGGTTATGTAAATTTTCCAACTTAAAATGAAAACTTTGTATATCCTTAATTTCTTCATACAATGATAATTTTTTATTTCTTAAAATTTCTTAGGTGTTTCTTTTCCAAATAGAAGAATATTAATCTCTCATGAAACATTTTCTGCACACAATTCAGTTATTCTGGAAATCTAAACAGAGAACAACAGATAGGTTTATGGAGATGAGTAACTTCACAGGCTGAGACTCTTATGTTGTCATGGTGCAGCTAACAGGGTGAATGAACTGTTTCATGCTTCATCAACAATTAAGTTAATTAGCTCATTTGAAATTGCACTGCTTTGTTGCCAGGATGTTGGCAGAAACATCAAAAAGATGTGTTTACAAATGGTAGACTGACTACAGGGTGTAGAGCAAAAGCACCTTAACGACAAGGCATAAGTACTTGGCATCATAATAACTCTATAACTGAATTACAGGAAGACTTCCACAAAGATTGTTTTAAACCTTTTATCATGTCTGACCAATTAAGAGAAAATTTGCTTCATATACCACTAGGACTCTTGTTTTGGAGAGGTTTTTGCCATAGGGCATGTGCACTCACCAGGAAGACAGAGAGAGACAGAGAGACAGAAAGTGAGAAATCATCCCCCAGGGGGCATGGCCACACCACAATCCCTTCTCTTCCATTCTCCTCTCAGGATCTTGGGCATGCATGTACACGCACCCGGCGTGAGTTTAAGCCACTGGGTCTGGGACTCGAACCACAGTCTACTACATGGGAGTCCAGCAACATAGCCATTATGCCAACTGCTGGTCCCCCACTAGGGCTCTAGCCATTACGCCAACTGCTGGTCCCCCACTAGGATTTTTTGTAAATGCCCTTTTGTTATACCAAAACAGTGGCGAGCAGCCATTTTGTTGGGGTTGAT